GACGACCGCATCGACGTACGCCTGGAGCTGCACGGACGGCTGGCTGCGACGCACGCGGGCGAGTACACTGGGCAAGTGGACCAGCAAATCTTGCGCCGAACAGAGCTCTGTCGACGCAAGCAGCGTCGATGCGCCTGGGCGGCGCGGGTAGAGAAAAGCGTCGACGGCCACAACCATGGCCGGCGGCAAGTGCGCGCTGAGCCAGTTGCCGTGGGGCAGATTCGGCGCGTGCTCGTCCACGTACCAGTCGAGGAGGATGGAGTCGGCCATAAAGCCCGCGGTGTCGAGAGGTCGGTATCGCATCGCTCGTGGCCGAACCGAGTGCCAGCCCGCCTTGAGAAACTCGCACACAAAAGGCTGGTTGAGCGCTGGGCAGACCCGATCGAGCGCGATACCAGCGAGGCTCGACAGCAGTAACATGGCGTCTGGAACGTACCAGCGCGCGAGAAGGCTAGTAAAGGTCTCTTGCAGTTCGGGCCAGCCGCACTGGAGCAAGCACGCTTGGACACATGAAGCCGCGTCGTTGATCGCCGTCACATCCGTGACGATGATCGCGTCACCGAGAAAGCGTGTGACGAGATCCATGTCGTTGATCTGGAGCAAAAGCCTGGCAAAGGTTGTGGCGTAGCGAACGGCAGACGTCGCCTTGGGCAGCACAGAGTGAAAATCTGGTCGATCAATCTCATTGCTCATGAAGAGCGGGATGATGTGCACCGCCAAGTCACGTGCGGTCGAGAAGCCGATCAAGTCGGCGGTTGTCGGATCGCCCACGGCGGCTTGGAGAAGCGGCAGCACCCCTCGGAGGCCAAGGAGGGACACACGACAGCGCTTGGGCCACATGAGCACCGCTCTCGCTGAGCATGCCAAGTTGTCGCTGATGTACCAATGATACCCGGTGAGAAAGGCGTCCACGCTCAGGCCAGATAGGCCATTTGCGACACCCGCGGGCGTCGCACACGCCGGGTGCAGAAGAAAGCGCTCAACGATGTTCACATACGGATCGCCATAGACCTCGTCGGCATCCGCCAGCTGCGCGCGCTTGTGAAAGGTGACGTGTGCGACGTCAAACGCGCTTGTGGCCAGAAGCACCTCCACCAGAGCCGTGTCGGTCGAGTCGAGCGCTGCGAACGAGAGCGCGTCGTCCTCCGTCTCGGCCTGCATATACGAAACGTACTCGAGTGGCGAGGTCTCTGCGAGCCGCGTGAGCTCCGCGATCGCCGCGTCTTGGGACGGCCGAGTCACGGGACCGTCGGCCACGAGGCTGTAGACGAGGGCGATGCGTGTGCCGCTCGTGATGGGCGCTGACGAGAGCTCTGTGCCGAAGAGCGTTGTCGTGATGCGCGTCGCGTTTTGTGCCACGGCCTTTAGGCGCTTCGGGCCAGAACGGTGCGGATACGTCAGGTCGCCGCGTTCGTACGGTGTCGGCAGCTCGATGAGGAGCGAGCCAAACGAGTTGCCCGAGCCCGTCGCCTGGAGCGACCCGACGCTGTCAACCACGAGGTGCGAGAGAAGAACGCGCATCTGCTGCCGTTGTGGTGCCAAGATGTCGCGCTGGACGACGTCGAGGAAGTTTTAGAGTAGATCGTTGGACCACGACGCATCGTTGCGGATGTACAGCTTGTCGGCGGGAATGGCGTTCGTGTCGCCAGCCAGCGCCGCCAGTTGTCGCACTCGGTGCTCTGGCAGCGGCCACGAGAGGAGACCATCGACGCCGTCGACGCGCATCTGCAACCAATCGTCACACCCGTATGGAGTGACCGAGTCGCTGTACACATGGCTGTAGTGCTTGATCTTGACCAAGGCATCGTTGTAGGCATTCTCCGGCTCATCCTTGTCCGACTCGTCGCTACTGTCCCAGCTATCGCTAGCCTCGTCAAAGCTGTCGCTGGCGTCGGAGCTGTCGCTGGCGTCGAAGTCGGCCCAGTCCATGCCAGCTGAACAATAAAAATAGTGCATCGGTCCTCAACGTCGTAGACCCAAGCATTCGATTCGATGCAAGAGACTGCAGCGTTCGTTGCAAGCGCTCAGCCGGTGAACCAATGTCTTGAATTGAAGCGATGAGTGACGAAAAAAGGACCTAGGCCACACGAGTTTCACCGTCCACAGTCGACGGGACGCCTAGTTGCGACCGCCCTGCCGTGCGATGCGGTGCCGTGCGACCGAGGCCCTGGAGCGCGAATTGCAGAATGAGCAACGCTCAAGGTTTTTCCGATTCTCTTGTAAAAGCACTGCGTTTCGCCTTTGTCGTGCTCGTTTTTACACGTGTTTTTTCACGACTGAACGTTTGCGCGGAAATGGAACCTTTTCCAAGTGCCACGTCATATTGCAATCGAGTGTTTAGCATTATTCATCATTTCCCCTCCTCCCAGCTTGTGTCAACAAGTCAAGAGTTGGCGTAAAGAGAAACAATTCACCATATATTATGGACCGATAACTGACAGCACCATATAAACACGACGACGAGAGTGCGATGGCTTAGTGCATGTCTTGCGTCAGCGGCACGTAGCCATCTTCCATCGAGATGATTGACGGTCCAACCTTCTTGGACACGGAGACGGCAAACGATCGCCGCGACGGCACCCACCACTGGCGACGGCCACCAAGAGCAGCGCCGCTTGGCCCCCAGGCGCATCGTACACCGAGACAAACTTCTGTGTCGCCTTGACCGAGCATTGGCGCGCCTTGTACGCGAACGCCGAGGCGTAGTCGTCACCGTAGTGTGCGTCCTCGTTGCTATGGGGGCACCAGGCGTGGACGCCGTTGCAAAAGCGGCTCGTGTCGCAGAGGTCCTCGGCG